CTTCAACAATGTTTTTGGACCTTACTGTTGCCTACATGTCACCTAGGGAATACGAATGTCCTAGGCTGGGATAAAGGACCACGGGAATTGCTGACATGGATCAGGAAGCAAAAACAACTGAAAAATAACTGAATCAATAACATTTATTGATTACTTCATTTGGGACAGGCTGCTAAGCCCTTTATAGTGAGTGCTCGAGCTCATTCAGTCTTCCCCCCACCGCATTTAATAGGTGCTCATCACCCTCACTTTACAGATGAGGAAATGGGGCTAGAGAAGTTAAGTCACTTGACCAAGGTCAGACCCTGACCTTGAATAAACCCGAGTCTGTTCAATTCCAGAGCCCTAGACTCTTAAGTCTAGCTCACATTTGAGCCTGGGGAAAGTTCCTTGAGCTGATTCAAACTCATCAAGTACAGTGCTGCAATTCAGAAGTGGTACGTGGGCAGCAGAATGCCCATGGTTACCCAAGGCTCCCAGCACATCCTGCATGCCCCAGCAGCTAGTGGCTCTGCTTGGCCAGAAGCCATGAGGGACAAAAGCAAAACGTCTATGAAAGGTCTGTTCCTCATAGTGTGGATTTGTCAAGGCCCTGGGGTCCTAGGAGCAGGTTGGAGGGGTGCCCAACACAGTGAATCAATCGCTGTAATATCAGACACTAAGTTGGGAGTGGAAGTGAAAGGTGAGGAAGCCAGAGTGGAGGAAACTAGGCCAAGTTGCCAGGCCTTGGGCAATTTCAATCCCAAGGCTCTCAGCCAAGGACAAGCCACTGTGCCCAAAATAACCTCCCACGAGAGTCTTAACTCATCATTTTGCAATCTGTATTCCAGTACTGACTTTCAGGCCACTATACCTAGTATTAATGGGCCCCTATTAGATATGTTAGCACCATTAAAGGTACAAAGATCTGGTCTTCCACAGAGACAGGGAGAGCCCACAGGAGACAATGAGAGAGCTGTATAAAACAGTAGACAATGCAGTGCCAACCTGTGCAGTATGAGCCACAAAGGCCGCTGAAATTCACAGAAAGGAGAGATCAGGGTGTGCTGGCACAGGCGGTGGTGGCTTCTTGGAGCATATGAACGGAAGGGAGGAAGACAGAGTAGAAAGAGAACAGCATTTCAGGTAGGAAGAAGAGTATGAACAAAGGTGAAGCAGCAACAATGCAAATAAATTGTTTCTCGGGCTATGAGAAACCCATCTGTGGGGCACGGGGTTCTTGTTGGAGAAGAATGGGATAGAAAGTTGATGAGTATGGAAGATCAGATCAGAGAGGTCCTGGGTTCCAAGAATATTTATCAAGTAAATTCAACATGCAGAATCCAGGGGTTCATCATGTGGGCAACAAGAAATCATCCGGGCTTTAAATAGGCAATTAAGAATAAAAATTTAATTTTAGGAAGATTTATTTGTGGTAGCATTTGAGATGGATTATAAAGGAGAGGACTAAAGGCAAAAGAACTGTCCAAAAAAAACCCTGAATGCTTCATTGAGCATCCACTAAAAGTCTGACTGCATGCAAACAATAGACATGGTCCCTCCCCAGCCAGCCTTCATAGTCCAGTGGGGAACACATTCATTAATCTCATAGTTACCTATTAAGGACCTACTATATGCCAAGGATTATACTGGGCCCTGGGGACACAGGGAAGAACAAAACAAAATCTCAGCCTTCATGAAGCTCATCCTCCAAGGGGCATGGAAGATAATACAAAAGCAAACCAATAATCATATCAATATAAAGTCAGGTACTGAATGCCATGAAGAAAAACAAAGCAGGGCACTGGGTAGAGAATGGTGGGACTCTTCAAGGAAGGCCTCTCCAAGAAAACGCCACAATGTTTCAAACCCAGAGAACAGGTAAAATGGAGATGCCACTGTTAGAAATAAGAATATTGAGACAGTGACTTAGTTTGTAAGAGTACAGAGAAAATAGGGAGTCTTGTTGTAAGTGTATCAAGCTTGCGATGAAAGCAGAATACCCACACAGAAATGTCTAGACTCTAGAACTCTAATCCACAAGATCAGAGGAAGATAATGGCTAGACACGTAAATTTTAAAATCTTCCATTGATATTTGAGGAATAAGAAACTTTCTTTCCAAAACTAATTTACATGAAATGAAAGTAACTAAACGACTGGAAAAAAAATAGGACTGGATAAAACAAATAGTTTTATCATATCTCCTATGATGATCCCCTCCCTCCAGCCTCCCAGAATCCCAGGGGTGGGCAGTGACTTTGCCAGGCAGCAAGCAGCTGGTAACAAAATAATAATATTAATAATTGAGGTTCATACACAGCCAACCATCCAAAAAAGCTCTGTCCCCTGTTCCTTCAAACCCCAAGGCACAGTGGTTGGGGCAGCTCTATCCCCCTTCAGCACTTACCCCTTGGACTACCTGTTGCCCCTTCGTGATTGTTTCCTCTGCCGATGGCTCTGGGTGTTTTAATGTTTAAGAGAAAGGGATTTGGAAAGCAAAATAAATAAATTTTAAACTGGCCCTCCCTGCCTTCCTAGAAATGGCAAGAATTAAATGTTGGGATAGACTCAACGGTCGGGTGACCAACTGTTGAGGTTGCCCAGAACTATCCCAGTTTCAGCCTTCAGACTGTTAAGTCCTGCATCTCTGGGAAACCCCCCAGCCCTAGGCAACCCAGGACGGCTGGTCACCCTATGACTGATCTGACTTTCACAGCTGTCACCTGTGTCTGACCTGCGTGATGCAACAACACAAGGCTTTACATCTCTAAAGTGACATCAGCACACTTAAAGCACATGCTTAGTTTCCCAAACCCTACCTAACCTGCTACCCTGGAAGCTGGGTTCTCTTCCTCACTCAGACAGAGGAGCTGTGTCAGAAATTCCTCAGCATGAGGTGACCCTTCTATTCCCACCATCTTCCACTCAGTCCCAGCTACCATCCAAACCAGGAACATCAAATCTACCGGCAACTCCAATCCATGCCACTTGCTGCCCTCTCTGCCCAGCCCTGGCCAGCAAGCTGGTGGGGCCTGGAGGTCGATGCCAGATTATCAAAGAGAGAAAGAGGGGAACTTATCTGAGGTGGTGATGTGCTCTACCACAGCAAATCACAAGAAACGGGAACCCCAGGTAAATTACAGTCTCCTGACCCTGGAAGACGTGTGGTTTGCGTATTTCAGTTACAGCAACACCGGAAATGATTACTGACAAGCCAATTTTGGAGTTTTGGGTCCAAAGCTGGGCTGACTCACCTTTAGAGCAGAAACCAGGGAAAAGCCCTGATCTTAAGATGCACATCATGTGCTCTTTCAGCAGCCACAATGTTTGGAACATTCACAGATCTTGAGGAAGCTCACAAACCGTCTCTGCCAGTTATTAGAGACTTCTCCAAAATTATAAGGAAGATTCATAGAAAATGCAGACTGATATTAATCTCAGCTTGGTCCCTCACTACAGAATTTTCCTGCTTGACAAGGTTAAAAGAATAATAAACAGGAGACACAATCCTCCAGGAATAATCCCTAGTTGGCCCCTTGTCACTTTGACTGCTTGTGTACGAACTAAAAGGTAGAATCGTAAATCTGCTATTTAGGTAACCTTGCCCAAACGGCACACACAAATCCTATTACCTAAACTACTAATAGCCAAGGCCAAGGGTAGTTGTCAGTGTTGCCTCTTTTAACTGAATTGTCTCGGAAATTGCCTCAGGCACCAAAGAACAATTAGTGTTAAAATTTCCAATGACTCAAATATTTGATCCTTGAAGCAGCCCTTTCCCCTGTCCCTCCCTGCAGGGCTCAGCCCAACTGACTGTGACAGGCTGTCGCAAGATTGCATCACAGGCCTTTGCAATTTTCTGGGCAGTCTGATTTCCCCCTTCTCCCCCTGCCCTCTTCCTCTCCCTGCTTGAAGCCCTTTGGCCTATTTGTCTCTTCCTTTCTCTTACTTGCTAACTCGGGTCTATGGATAACAAAGCTAAATCAGAACACCCACCTCTCCAAAGGGATGATGTTTAATCCTAGACACAATCAATCCCACTCTCTTCACGCTTTCAAGAGTACCCTCCACTCTTGAGCTTCTTGCACAAACTATCTACTCTCACCCTTCTGCCCTTAAACTGTCAACTGCTTCTATGATAAAGCTGAGCTGGCACAGGGGAATTTCACCCCCAGATCCAGGGAAGTGGCAAATAATTATGGAGGAGAGCATGAAATATTTGCATTCCAGACCAGCAAATTTTACCAACAGCCCCCCTTCCGTCTTCACCTCCCCCAGCCCCCAACTTCACCTCTCAAATGGGAGTGCAGACAATTTGGATTTAATGGCTGTTCCTTGATATGCAGAAGTATATATACACGCACCTGCAGGCACAGAGACTGACATGGAGCACACACACACACACACATACCCATACCTCTGTGCACAAAAGGGCACCTTCAAAGAATAGTCTATCAAGCGACCCTAGCAATGCAAGCACCAGTGAACAAAACCAGTCAGGCTGGAAAGAAACAGTACGCACAGCCAGTGTTATGCAGAGCCTGGAGATCTGTTCTGTTTCTTACCCAGATCCCTCCCCCTTGCCTTCTCCCCTCTGAACCCCACACACGTGGGAAGATGACAACCATCTGAATAAAAACTAAAGATTTTTCAGTTAGGTAGAGCCCCCAGACGTCCTCATAAGGGATCCTTCTCAGGCTGCCCCGGACGAGGGAAGCTGTGCGCCCACCCACACCAGTCAGAAAGAGTCATGTCGGAAATGTACGCGGATATTTCCCTGGGCTCCGCGTCCTCACCCTTGCGCTCACCCGGAATGGGACCTCCTCGTCCAGGCCTGCCCTCCCCCGCACACCCCGCGCGACCTCCGCCTCCCGGGAGCCCTAGCTCACACGGGCCCGGGCGTGCACAGTTCGTGGGCGCCTCCCCCAAAGTCCCTGCCCTGCTCCTCCCCCCGCCCTTCCTCCTTTCTTTGGCCGGTGCTGCGCTGGCCCCAGCCAAGGGAACCCAGGAGGCGGGTCTCGGAGAAAAGATATAAGCGTCCCCGGGACGCTGACAAGGTGCCAGCTGCGGAGTCTCCATCTGGGAGAGCCGCGGCTGCCGACGAGGAGGAGAACGCAGAGGCCCGGCGGACCGACGGACGCGCCGACCGCCGGTACGTCGCCACCCCCAGCTCGCGCTGCCTCCTGCTCGCGCTGCAGCACCAAGGTGAGCCCGACGGCGCGGGGGCGCGGGGTCCCGCGTGGGTACCCCTTTCAGCGGGCCTCTCCCAAGAGAGCTGAGTAAGGGGTGCTCGGAAGCTGGAGCTATCCTTCAGTGGCTAAACGTCCCCCTTTCCTGCTCTGCCGCTCCCGCAGGTCACTCCCACCCCCGACAGCCTAGAGAGCCCAGAGCCGAGATGGAAACGGTCCAGCAGCTGATTCCTCTGGCCAAGGAGATTATGGCCCAGAAGCCGAACCGGAAAATGCTGAAGCTGTACGTGCTGGGCAGCGTGCTGGCCTTCTTCGGCGTGGTGATAGGCCTGGTGGAGACTGTGTGCAGCCCCTTCACGGCCTCCAGGCGCCTGCGGGAGGAGGAGGCAGCTGTGGCCGCGCTGCAGGCCGCCCGGGAGCGAAAAGCCCTCCCGACACAAGCCCTGCTGGAGAAAGGCAAGCAGCAGGAGGCCATCCTCTGCACCCGGGCCCTCTCCAACCGGCAGCATGCCTCCTAAGAACCTGGGAGACCAGCAGAGGGAGGGGGAGAGAGAGAAGACTGAGCTAGAGACACAGAGAGACAGAGAGAGAGGGCAAGGCAAGAAAGAGAGCGCAGGTCAACCTCAAGTGGGAGAGAGCAGGAGTCCTGTGCTGTTTGGACTTCCTTCTGAGAAGCCACTGACTTCCAGAACTGAACTACCACATGGATCCACCAAAAGGAGTTTGGGATTGAGTTTTGCTGCTGTGCAGCAGTGCAGAAGGATGATGTATCCAAAACTATGTATCTTTAAGCTATCTGAGTGTATCTACCATTTTGCACTGGGGCAGAGGGAGGAGAAATGCTTTTCATATTATTATTATCATTATTATTATTATTATATTATTATTATTATTACAGTGACCACCATTTTGCATTTTGAAATAAAAAATGTTTTATACTACATCTCAGTATCTGATTCCAGGCATGGTCCCCTGGGGTGGGCAGCAGGGAGGGTGGGCATGCTGGTGAAGGGGGTCTTACCTGAGCACTGTGGAGAGAGCAGCCTCCTGAAGGTCAGGCAACACTTGCTTCACTGCTGGGGACTCTGCTATTCATATTACATGCTTATAAGTCTGTTGAGGATTTACTTTTGTTTCATGTTAGGGGTGGGAAGAGAGAAACTTTTATAAGTCCCACCAGATTTAGCATTTTAAGATCAGAAGATGTATCAACTTCTAAGCTAGAGTATGTGAATGAGAGATAATGATTAATTCTAGGGCAGAAAACCCATTTGCCGTCTCACACCTGCACCCCAGAGGCTCCTACGGCTGAGACCTCTTTCTTCCTAACTGTATTTCAGCAACAGAGAGAGAGAGAAAGAAAAAGAAAAGAAAGAAAGAAAAAGAGAAAACTAGCTAGCTGGTAGGAAAAGAGGGAAGGCAAGCTCCTAAGAATGGCTAATTGATGTCTAGCTCTACCCAGCTTCCTCACCATGAACTCAAATCATAGTAAGAAGCTCTAGGTTAGAAGGAGAAAAGACTGGTTGTCACAGACCTGAGTCCTCTTCCTCCAGGGACAGAGCTTGCTCTGTGGTAATAACTAATTCAGTGGCTCTATAGGGATTGGCAAAGGAAATTTCAAACAACGGCCCTTAGAGAGGTAGTTAGGGGCATGGCCTGATGCCACTCTCTTTGTGATTTTAACATGTCTCCTGCCCTAACCAGGTACAGACATTTCACTCTTGTCATTAATGGCTACGCATTTTTGCCAAATGTACCAATGGCTTGTGCCACTGCCTCTGATCAGACTCTCTCCACCACCACCCCTCTCCCACGCACACACACACACACCCTCCTCCATTTTATTTCTGTCAGCTCAAATCCTACCCAGGGTTCCTGCCCCTGGTCATCTCTCCCTGAAATCTATCCTTCTCACTCCAAACAAAAGAGCAGTCAGAATGGGGTGAGATCAAGGGAAAAGAGACATATTTAAAGGAGGAGAAGAATGTCAGTGGCACCACTGTTCTTCCAGTTTAGAAAATGGGAATCTTGGCCCTATATTAAGACATAGCCTCATCTTAAATGTCCAAAAACCTTCTTAGGAATTCACCCCATCTTATTCTTCCAAAATGCCTCTCCTATTGTATTTATATCCCTCTGCGCATTTGGCCACCACCTTGTCCAGCTCTCAACAGCTCAAACCACCTCTTGCACCTTTTAGCACATTCTCCCCAAAATGATCCACCGCCAGACTGTTTTTCCTTCAATACCTTTCATCCTGCTGCTCCCCCACTCAAGAAACATCAGAGACCAAACTCCCATGCCAGATTTTTCCGTGTGTTCGTGATCTGCTTCCATCTCAGCTTCTCACCTGATTTCTCAGGCTGCCCAGCTGGAACCCTGGTACCCTGCTATTCCCTTTTGGTCTTTCACATCTTTGTTCATATTACTCTTCCCACCCGAATGTCCTCCCACCCACAATCTCCACACCTTCTGAGAGTATATACCTCAAATTCTCCAAGAGAGGTACGATTTCAAATATTCTGCTTATTGTCAAACTATATATCAAATCATGTACTCCAATTTTTGGTTTAGAAAGTAATGTCTATATTTTTTGGTTTGCCTATACACGAAAAATATATATTTTTTTTACATAGTTGCCTAAATATGTAGGTAATGTCTATATACTTTTAGTTTCAACCTTATGTCTCGTGCCTATACATGTTCGAACTACCCAACTCAATCAAGTCCAAGCTATTGAAATCTTCTCTGTCCTCACTGATCTTCTCATTTCTCTGAATTCCTACAGGTCATACAGTCTGGGTCTCATACTGAATCACTCAGTAATGGACCTTTTTCTCCAGTTGTTTTGTGTAGCTATATTTTAGGGAGAGAGAGTGAAGGAGGGAAGGAGAGAAAGAGAGAGAGAGAAGGAGGGATGGAGGAAGGAAGAAGGGAGGGAAGAAAGGAAGAAAAGAGAAGAAAAAGAAAAAAAGAAAGAAAACTAGCTATCTGGTAGGAAAAGAGGGAGGGCAAGCTCCCAAGAATGCCTAATTGATGTCTAGCTCTACCCAGCTTCCTCCTCAGGAATTCAAATCATAGCAAGAAGCTCTAGATTAGAAGGGGAAAAGACTGGTTGTCACAGAACTGAGTCCACTTCCTCCAGGGACAGAGTATAATCTTCTTAAGGACTATGTGTTCCTCTTGAGTGTTCATAAAAATTATCAAGTCCTAGACAAACAGTAGGTTCTTAATAAATACTTGATTGCTCAATTCGTCTATTATGAAGTTAGAGCAGTGGTTCTCAATGGGAGAGGGAGCAATTTTGTCCCCCCAGGAGACATCTGAAAATGTCTGGAGACATATCTAGTGGGTAGAAGCCAGGGATGCTGTTAACCATCTTATAACATGCAGGACAGCTACCCACAACAAAGAATTCTCCAGTCCAAAATGTCAATAGGACTGAGTTTTAGAAACCCCAGGATAAAGGAAAGTAAGGGAAAAGGGTTTGCTTAATAGTTTCAGAATCAAGATTCTGAGGTGGTCTCGCAAGACTATGCCTGGTTGTGATCAAACATGATAGGTCCCTCTTCCAACACTGGGACAAAAATGGTCCTTGGCCCTGATAAAATTGGCAATTTTATCAGCAACCTAGGAGAAGTGACAGAAAGTCTACTTACCAGTTCTGTTGGTGATGCAGAGCTGAGACAGGAGAGTCAGGATTCAAAATGACTCAACAGGCTGGAACTATGACTGACGCTACCAATTGAAACTGAATAGGGAAGAGGATACAGTAACAGAATTTAGGTCCAAAAAATCAGTTGCATGACCACAGAATTATGAAGCCTTCTTCTAGCAGTAGATAGTGTGAAAAAGACCTAGGTATTTTCACCGATTACAAGCTTGATATAAGCCAACAAGAGCTTGTGACAGGGCTGCCAAAACAAACTAACACCTAATTGGTAGATGTGGAATAACCAGAAAAAGGGAAGAGAGAGTGGTATTATTTTACTTTGCAGTCTGGCAGGTGGGAAACCAAAGAATTTAAATCAGACAGCCTGGATTTGCTTGGTTTGAATTCCGACACTAGCTCTAAGACCTTGGACAGGTTACTTATAAACTCTCTACCTCAAGTTACCTAAATTCTTTCCTCATCTATAAAATAGTACTTTCCTCATGGCATGATTTTAAGGATTAAATGAGATAATCCATGTAAAGTGCTTAGAGCAGTACCTGGCAGATAGTAAGCTTTCAGCCAATGATAGTTACTGTTGTTGTTGTTGTTATATTTCAAGAGAGACCTTGACAAACAAAAACTTGCATAGTTCAGAGTGACTTGGGCAGATAAAAGTCCAGAAACCCTGTCACATACAGAACAATTAAATGGATCGCTAGAGAGAAGAAGATACAATAGTGTTACATAACAATTGTCTCGAAATATTTGAAGGGCTGCCATACTGATCCAATAAAGTCCAATAAAATAGACTTATTTTATGCGGCTTGAAAATGCAAAACTAGGACTAGCAAATAGGAGTAAAAGGAAGCAGATCTTAGGTCATTAAGAAATCAGAGTAATTCAAGGGGCCGGCCCAGTGGTGTAGCAGTTAAGTTTGCACACTCCGCTTTGGCGGCCCGGGGTTCACAGGTTCAGATCCCGGGCGCAGACAAACTCACCACTCATCAAGCCATGCTGTGGCAGGCGTCCCACATATAAAGTAGAGGAAGATGGGCATGGATGTTAGCCCAGGGCCAATCTTCCTCAGCAAAAAGAGGAGGATTGGCAACAGATGTTAGCTCAGGGCTAATCTTCCTCATACACACGCACACACACACAAGTAATGAATTTATTTCCAAAAATAAACTCTTTCCTGATTAAGTTTATCTACCTAATGTTTTGGCCTTTTAGAAAATACCGTAACCTAGTTGCTGAACCTAGTGATTCTCAAATTTGGTCACAGTGAAACACTTATTGGTCACCTTGCTCTTTGCAAAACATCACAAGATTCTGACCTATTAATATAAATAAACACATAATTTTGTGCTATATAAGATACCAACTTGCACTATGCTCTAGTGAAACAAATAGCAGGTATCAACTGCGAGAATATTAAAAACTTTCCACATTCTTAGGACAAGTTTGATTGTTCTATAATCATGGTATCCAGAACCAGTTTTAAACCCATTGGCTCAGTCAATGACAACTCATCTCAGTTAACACACTTTTACAAGCCAACCAATCAGTAATAGCCCCTCACTTCTGAGGGTCAGCCAACCAGGAACTGACTCACTCTATAAATATACTTCAGAGTGCCAGCCAATCAACAAATAAATATGCTTCTATAGATGATGTCAGTCCACTTACATCTGAGAAAGTACGCCTATGTGAACTGCCTGCTTCCCCAAAACCAAGAAGTGTTCCTACTGGGCTCCTTGTGCCCAAAGTCCATTTGTCCTTCACATCTGCTGCCAGGTAAGTCAGTCTCGACAATAATCTGAACTAGATTCATTGAGTTCTCACGGCTTCTATGATTTGTAACCAAACAGGCCTTTGTATAAAAATCATTAGTTCTCAGTTTTTTATAAACTAATTAGAAATTTTAGTTAACAGATGTATATTCTGGTAAATAATTATACCTAGGTCTTTGTGTAAGGTCATTAGGCATTTTGGTTGAGAGGTGTACCATTGAGTAATTAGACATAGGTCTTGTATAAGTTCATTAGACCCTTTGTTTTGGAAGTGTATTGTTAGATAAATATTTTTGCCATTAAACTGCTTATTCCCCTGCTGCTTACTTTGCTTTTGCTTTTGTTTGTCTATATTATAAAGTCTTATTTTATGTGTTTTTGTTTTGTACTGGAATGCCTTATTTCTGATATATGAATAAGGGAGTGTTCCATATGGAATGGT